AAGCAAGGGCCGATTCCTGTGGAGCCAAACAACGAAAAAGTCAAAACCAAGCCAAAGCAACAATTAATCGCTCTCTATGAAAGCAAATATCAGGCGGTGGAAGTGGAAGAAGGAACAAGTGAATGGACACCCGACAGGCAAGAAAGACTTGATCAGTTGGAAGCAGGTGAGGTCGTGGACTTGATCAACGATACCGAGATCAAGCGGGCGTATGAGTGAGAGGAGGAGTTCTTCGAGACTAGACTTCTGTCTTTGGATCCGACGCGAAGGAAGAGCATTCTGGCACGTGTTATGGCGAAAGTTTCTTGCTTGGAATGGGACGCTGTGTTCCTTGGTCTATTGGATGATGCTGGAGGAGACAATGCTGGAGGAGACAATGATTCAATGGCAAGTACCGATACTAGTATTTAGTAGTAGGCAGTTAACAACAAGATAAGTTTCTATAATAATTTAAAGTATGATTTGATATCATTCTGCTCCATTGCTCAATTTTGTCCGAATACCGCCGTTTCAAATTCTGCGAAGAATCGCTTTCCTTGATCTTGTTTTTCGCCGCGAGGGCACACTATCTGAATGCTCCTCAGTCCACTCGGATCTGTGATGCCAACAAAATCTAGAAGCATGCCCCGGGCACTGCTGTTGACGCTTTCGAGACGACGGATGGTGATTGTTGCTTTATTCAAATGAAGTCCAATCTCGAACGAAACTGGTTGGCCAACAATGATTCGATCATCTCCAGCGGGGACTCCACCGGGCGGCATGAGATTTCCGTCAACCTTCAATCGATGACGATATTCAGAGGCACAATCACCCAATATCTGGCGGGTGAGTGAAGGGGCGACAGCAACTTGAAAAGAAAAACTTCCCTGGACTCGCATTTCCGATCCATTGCGATAGACAACGTGCAGACTGCCTCGAGCCGTCACCTCTGCTGCCTGGTTTGGAGCTGGGTATGGGATTGTTTGGAATATCATTGTCGAGTACAGTGAAGTTGAATCGATTTTTAAAAGCACTAGAATCGTCCAAGCTGATCTGGAATCCCATCTTCTTCTTGGGTTCGGAGGAGTGTCAACACAAGATCGTTAACACAAGAGCAACTGGTTGTACATATCCGGTTGGAGCAAGCTCCACCATTCCCAGAACAATCCTTTAAGAAAGAATTCGATTTGGCACCTCTACTGGCAGCGCCGGTGTTGTAAAGATAGGGACGTAACCGTCTGCCAACGGGAAAGAAGATTCGGATACTCCGTTGCTCTTGTATCAATCGGAGAGGTTGATTGTTTTGGATCGATTCGAAGCTCATTATCCGGAGATTTTGCTTTCAGGAACAGGAACAGCAAAAGCAATCAATCAAGATGGTGTTCAAGCTAGCAATCCATTCATTCTCTCGGTCTGCCATGGGTATGCGTATTGTTGACATGACACAGGAGGCGTTGTTGGAGGAGATGGCCGCCGCCCTCGATCGTGCAGGAGAGGACGAGACGGTTGCCTTTCTCCACGGTGGTCCTCCATTTGCGAGATTTCCAATCCATGTTCAAGAGATGGTGTCTGAGCGTCCAGGTTAGTCCATGAGACTGCTTTGTGTGCTGCTGGTGGCGCTTCTTACTCACTTCTGCTTCTCTCGGGATCGACCCTTCAGGTGGAGGGTGGAACCTATCGGATCAAAACCTCCTCACCGGAAAACAGGTTGTTGTTGTTGTTGCTGCTGGTTTGCCCGGATTGTTTGGTACTGGTGTGGACAATCCTCCTTTGGTTGATCTGCCGGTTCCCATTGTGGTTGCTCCTGCTGCAGCTGTTGCAGCTGTCGCCGCCAACCTTCGAGCCAACCATCGAGGTCGAGCCTCCGCTCCAGTCCTCGCTGCCGCTCCAGTCGCCGCTCCTGCTCCAGTCGCCTCCGCTCCTGCCGCCGCAGTTCCTCCTCACCGTCGCCGTGGAGGAATGGACTCAGATGATGATGAGTTTGAAGAGATCCGCGTCATGATCAACAACCCTCCTCGACGCAGCCGTCGTGGACGCAACAATCGAAACAATAATCATCGTGAATCGGATGGATCGGACACTCCAGTTGTCGATGTCTCTGGTTCGGGTATGACACAAGAGTTCTAGTCGCCATGGTGCCGAAACCAAGAAGCAAGAACGACAGCGCTGTTGTGGCAGTCAGTGCTTGCTGTTATCCTTCCCAGCATGGCGTTGTTGTCAGCGTTGTTGCCAAGCTGTTGCCATCTGAGTGTGTCTGCTGGTCTCTGCAGCACCTGGTGTACTAAAAATCCTATAGTAAAATATTGGGCGCTTCTCAGAAGAGCCGATTCAATTTGAACTAAAGTGCTGGGCAATATACGCGTATTTTGAAAAAAATCGTATTTTGCGTTTATACGTGTATCTCCTATCTCAACCATGAACGGGGACTTTTACAACTTCCCAATTCATACGGCACGTCACCAAAAAATGCTTACAACGTCTGAATTGCCCCTGAACTGGAACAGACTAGTGTCACTAACCAGTGGCCGCTGAAGAGTTCGGTTATTGACATCGCCGTAGTAGCTCTCCGTGGTTCGGATCGGGGGAGATAACGGAAACAACCTTGCGGATTGCACAGCAATCTTCAAGTCTCTCTGCTGTTTGCGGAACGTTTACGTTTCAGTGCCATGGACTTATTCAGCTCTTAATCAGCACTACTCTAGTCTAGATAGTATCTATAGCTGCGACAGATGAAGAAGAATCAAGTTTCACTCAAAAGATTGATCTTCAATGTCAATCTTTGCGCAGAACTCATTACTAGTAGTGGTTAGGACAATTCAGCTCCTTTACGATATCAACCAGTGACTGAGTGGTACACAAAATAACTACTCGTGTTGATTGATCATTCAGTCGGATCAATTATATATAATTAAAAAAGATGGTTATCGAGTTCATTCCCCTTCCCCAGAGCTCCGGTACAGCTATTAATACCGCTCGCTCCTGAACTCCTGTGAATACACGGAGAGTGCTTTCAAAATCTTCCCGATTCAATAGTACCGTACTCGTTCAAAGAAGACCAGCGCAGCAGGCCTTTCTGTGGTGGCCATTGAATTGGCATCACTGGTCTAAGACTATATGTAAGTATTAAATAAAAGCGATGTCTTTTTGCCGAACTTCTACCTTCTACCTGTACCGTACATGTAAGTACGGGAGCAAGTAACGGATTCTTGTAGTGCACCCGTATATTGTACCGTACGTAGAAACTTCCTAGCTCCTAGTCCGGAGCACCTCTTTATAAACAGCTAGTTTTACGATTTTAAGTGATGTCTTGAAGCTGGTTAACGTTCATTAAGTTTGAACCGTTGAACGATTCAAAGCAACAAAGGCCTTTCACATGCGGCGAATGAATTGACACCATCCGAGATTCTCGAGAGGGTATCGAAGTACCAGCATTTAAATCTTCTTTGATTTAACAAATACTAGAGTGAGCACAGAGCTATTAATCAACTTCCTAGACTACCGCTATTTACCAACTCTCTACTCAGTACTCCGGAGTACAGTAGTTCGTTTCTTGAGTACAACGGAGTACTCCGAGTACGGTGGTGATGCTTGATCAGACCTTCTGTGTGCTTTTGCATTCCGAATGTCGAGTTGAGCTGTGTTTTACCTTGCCAGAATGGTTAGGAAGCGTACGGGTGGTCCATGTACTATTATTAATACTAGAAGTAGTACGGTTCGTTAGTTTTCAGAGCCGGCCTAGATAGTCTCAGACAGTCTCAGACCAACAACGGCAGAACCGCACACCGTTTCCATGAACTTTTTGATTGTTGCCGTCACCGAACTATACGGGTGAGCTCCTGCAATACATATCAGCAGTTCTCTCTTGTCGCCGACATAGTATCGGATCACCAAGCATCAACAACGCATCAAGCAGGTTCGATTCCATTGCTTTGATTCTGCAATACAGTAGACTAGGTAAGACAATGAACCACAACAACCAGCTCCAAGTGCAGAGGGAGGAGACGAGCTCTGGGGTGAAGTATTACTACAGCGGCAAATGGATTACGGAAGAAGAGGTTTATGTGGAGGCCCTGGCAAAGGAGTTTCGCGATGGGACCCTCGAGATCCCAAATGAGACGAGCCTAAGGACCTTCCTGTCGGACAAGCTCCAGTGCAGGGCCAAGCGCATCACCAAGAAGTTCGAAAACACGGGTTACAGAGGTGCTCAGTCCTTCAAGCGCAACCTGCATATGTCCGAACAAGAGAGGAAGACCCGGTTGAAGGCTCTGGCTGCCCTCGAAGACAAAATGCACGAGAGTCGAAGCCTCACCCTGTTTTGTCAGGATAAGGCAAACACCAAGAAGAAGGCAAAGGCACAGGCGTCGTCGAAGGACACCAAGAAGAAGAAGAAGACCGCGTCCACGAAGGCTACCGGTCTAGATACCGTTAGTACGTCTGATCCCGCCGTTTCTGCTCCTGGTGCGGTTGCTGCTCCTGCTGCTGCGGCTCCTACTGTGGCATTGGAAGCGGTTCCTTCAGCTCCGGTGGTACAGCAAGGTGCTTTCAGGAGGACATCGAGTCCTTCTTCATTGTCCCAACTCTCCATGCATCACCACCAAGGTCTCAGTCGCCCTGATCTCGCTGCTTCTGTGGCGGCTTCGCTTGGAGTGGCTCGTCCAACTGTCACTCCACCAGTCCAACAAGACATTGCTGTTGAGATCTCGAACAATCACGCTGCCATCCTGGCTCAGATCTCCAGTGCTCGTCGTGCCACCATTCTTAACAATGAATTCCGCCAACAGCGAGCAAATACCATCATTGCCCAGCAGCAGGCAAGGCTTCAGCTCCAACAGCAAGCTTCGTATTCGCAGTCTCCTTTGCTCCGACGGCTTCAGGGGCAGCCAAGCCTTGACGCAGGCCTGTCCGATTTGCTAAACTCCCAGTTTGTTCTCAACACCAGTAGTGGACGATCTACCCTTGCTGCTCCTGCCCGCGCTGGTTCTCTCCACAGCGCCTTGCTTGCACCAGCTAGTAGTAGTACCATTGGGAACCAGTTCGTGCTCAACCGCACTAATCAGGATTCGATTCTAGAAAGCCGTGCTCTGGCCGCTCTTTGTTCCGAGGTCGCCACTACACACCTTCAACACGAACGACTCAAGCGCCTCTTGCAAGCTTCCAACAGTCCGACATCATGGGAGGATGCACAGCAGGGCGCACCCAAACGATCGAGAAGCTTCTAAACCTTCAATAGTAAGATGGTATCGTATGACGTGCATGCACAAGCGACCGAGACCATTTGTCCTCGTCCTCTAAAGAAACCAATACGTACATGGACTTACATTTTATAAATAGTATCATACACATCAAGCCTGTCTGTCTAGCTGCCAGCTATAGTTGGCTCTAGCTACTTTTAGCTAGCTAGGTAGCCATCTTTCATACTACTCGTACAAATACGGTAGCTAGCCTGACGACTGGCTTTCTAGCTACTAGCTGTCGGTAGGCCGGTACTACTAGCTGGCTACGGTAGTAGGCAACAGATCCAAGGACAGCTTTGTACAGCTTTGTACAGCTTCAGGCGGTGTGCAGCTGACTGACTTTTTCGAAGAAGATTTCATCTGTTCTTTTTCTTCCGAGGTTCGCGGTTCCGAAAAAGGAAAGCGGTGGTCATTTCGAAAAATGACGGGATCCCTTGGGAAATAAAGAAATTGATTGATGGACGGCTCAAGGGCAGGGTATCGTACGTACCCGTATTGCCCTCGTCAGAAAGATGACACGGTTGTGCCTTCGGTTCTGATTGTGACGTCTTGATGGTGATTTGATTTATTTGATTGCATTAGTCTTGCCTATTCGTCACTCGAGTGGAACCAAGTGCCACATCATCAAGCCTTGTCAAAAACTGTCTCGGTAGTCTAGATAAACCTAAAGACTGGTAACACGCTAGCTCTGGCTACTAGCTAGCTAGCAAGCTACTGTAGTGCACCTCTAGAGCTAGCTCTCATTCAATTACGCTGAAAGGATTCAATCATTCTCTTGCCTTCTATTGTTAACCCTTTTTAGGTCTTGGCAACCCAGCCCATATGGTAGATTACTCTTCCGCACCACACGTCTTCCTCTACCGGTCCTGCACTTCATGGTTGTCTAGCTACTACGGGTAGCTAGGCGAGTGACAGTCCACACAATACGGTACAACCAATTGAGTGCTATGATAAGTGTCTTACAGAGAGTATCCAGAGCAGTATGACCCCAAAGGACGCCACGAGCGTCGCTATCACCATCAACCAATGATTGTCATCCCATATCCTCGCAGCTGTTGTAGTGGTAGTAGTTGGTTGAGTGCCATGTGTTCGATACTGCAAGACCAAGTCATCAATGGCAGAGACCGTCCCCGCCTTGTGCAACAATTCCTGCAAAATCCGTATCTTGTCCTGTGGGTGGAACGCCTTGGCGTGGATACAACTGGTCCGTAAACGAGAGAATTTGTCGGGTCCAATGACCATGGTCTTGTTCATTGTTTGTTTGTGTTTTGTGTGTGTGAAACCAAATTCTCGTGCATAGTACAATTCGGCCACACACCAGGCTCTCGAATACAAATCGACTTTGCGGTTGCGTACGACGACAAACCAAGAGGCTGCCTGAAGCGCTTGTACAAAGGGTGATTGCGGAAGTGGTACTTGTGATACTTGTTCTTGTACAATTTTATGTGTCCCTTGTCGTAGGGCAAAGGCACAAATCCACAGATTGGGCTTGTCGGTAAAAGGAGCAAATGCGGTAGTGATGGATTGGACAAAGTCGGCAAAGGGTTCGTCCCAACAATGCGTAATAAAGGCATCTACACGGAGTCCTTGTGGATTGAGCGTGCGTGCATACGACGTTTGGAAGGCTTGGCATTTTGGTTGAATGATGGATTCATTGATATGGCGCATGGTCATGCGACTATATCTCCAGGAAGAATATCGTTTTCGGGCAATGGCGTCCACTTGCAGTAGTTGATCAAAGGAAATGGCCCACATGCCGGGATGGTTCCTTGGTAACTCAGTACACGTAGTACTAGTACCGGTACATGTAGTATCACCAGTTGTACTACTAGTGTTGGAATACAATGGAAGTTCTTCTTGTTCTTCTGCCAAGAGCTCCCCACTGCTTCCATACAGCTTCTTGTCACTCAACAGTCTCCGAATGGAGCATGGTTCTGCTGATGACGCTTTGGTATGTAAACTGGACTTGCTGATCGTAGTAGAGATTGGAAGACTGTCATTGGATGACGATGCTGCTGCTTGCAGTCCTAGAGTAAACACAAATTCCAACATCGAACAACCATCGTCTCTGCCTCGAGATCTGTCTCCACTCTTCTTTCCTTCTCTTTCGCCAGTTTGATTCCGACGAAGTTGAGACCACATGACAGCATGCAACCAATCACAGGGATCAATAGCCTCCAGCACAACACAACAACAACAATGCAACAACAATTGTGTGCACCGTGCCTCTTCGGTTTGAATCGTGGCTGGTTTCAGGGCCAAAGCGCACGCCGCTGCGGTCGGAACAGATCTTTTCCGACCACCTGATTTTAAGAAAGCAGCCGTTCCTCCCAACCTGCCGACCTCTGCAACCCGGAATCGATCCAGTGACAGTCCTCAAAGGCACCCGCAGGGAATCAAATGCCAAGACCATCTTTTATCTTTTATGTCATCGAGGCGTCTAGCTAGTAGAGTAAGGCAGGGAGGTTATCATTTAGTTCATATCACTTGGTGTACTCTGTAGGAATTTTCCCCCTTGCCTCCTTTCCCCTTGGGACTCCCTTTGGAACAACCCCACTGCACTGACTTGCAAGAAAACTGCTACTAGTACCTTTTTCCAAGTAAAAATTAATTGGCAGCCATATATACGCTCGGGACTCGTTTGGAACAACCCCGCCGACCTGCAACAGGTTTCTTACATGGAGAAGAACACTGCTACCTTTTCCAAGTAAAAATTAATTGGCAGTCATATGCACTCACTTCTTCATCAGTTTGGGATGGCTCCTGGGAGGAGAAATTCAATTGCCGCAAATCAAAGGTCTTGGGTGTATTTCTCTGCCTACAAACGAGCTAGCTACGGTACTACTGGCCTGATAACAAAGTCGACTATATGCAATTTCCCCCCTGTGCATGCTCAGCTAGTGAATCACATCTGATCATTCTGGTTTGTAACTACCCGATGTACCTCCTCTAGAGTCATGACCTGCAGAGCTGCCTCTAGCAAGCAAAATTCAATCTCATTCTTTTTCCGAAGTGTCAGGAATTCGTGGACGTGGCTGACCATTCTCTGTCTTCCCGCTTCTTCTGTTGGCATTTTGTACAGTCCATCAATGCGGCGTCCTTCATAACCTGGAACTTGATATCCCAAATGATATTTGCCTCTTTGATCGGCCCGCAAAAATCTCTTGAACAAGGCCCACCACATGTTGATTACTGTGGATGTATTGAGCACAAACACGTTCTTTTCCTTTTTGGGGTATGATTTGAAAAGGTGATGCCCCGATTTTTCAAACAGCTCTGGATCAAAGGATGCCATTGTTGTCCCCTCACATTCACAAACCATAGTAAACCCTTGACGAATGGCCATAAAGTTTGGATACAGACTGGTCCAATAGTAATAATGGCCAGCCATATAAACCCTCAAGTCTTCATCTGTTCGGATTTGTTCCTTGGGGAGAAGCTTTGCAATATCAATGGCTACTGAATAGCTTTCTTGTAACGGCAGATGATCCACACCAAGCAACAGCCCAGGGCACATGATGGAAAAATTGTGAAGGAAATTGGCTCCCTCTTCGGGAGTGTTGTTGATTTTGTATTCTTGTCGAAAACATTGCATCAAGTAGACACGCTCCAGAACTTGTTCTACAGTTTCATTCAGGTTTGTGAGGGCATACTGAACATACTCAAAATCGGATCGGTTCTGAATTCTTTCGTCCTGCTCAACGTTGGCCATGACGTTGATGGCCCTGGCAATTTCCTCCCGAGTGAGCTGCATCAAGGGATCGATAGGTTTTGCCTTGATGACATTGAGGCTTTGTTCCAGTTGTTCTCGATCCATGGTCTCTATTGTACGATAGCTAGGTTGCACGTTATTGTGGGTGCTGCTTGCGGAATGTGGCTTGCTACAATGTTGGGTCAAATCGAGTGATGGTGTGACAGCAGCTAACTAGACCAGGCTTCCCCGGATGCCTCGAGATCTCCACTCTCCACGCGAGCTTGCTGGGGCACCCTGTGCTGGGTTCGTATTCGCTTTCTGTGAGGTTTCAGCATGCAATCAATTTCCACGCAGAGACACTCAAGGCCTCACCGTGTTTTGACACCGTCAGTCTTTGAATGCGCACCGTACCAAGCACTGCCTTGCCTTTCATATTCTTCGCTAAGGCTTGATTGCAAGTGCTGCCAAGGATAAAAGGTGAGAAAAACTATCATGTAATTTTATAGTACATGTACCAGGTACAGGGTTCGATAGCAGTGTAATAGCTGGAAGTTGGACTCCACTCGTCCGAGCAACCCTGTCAAGAATGTCATTGAAACAAGCAACTTTTGATAATGAATGCTATCTGTTGTAGTTCCGTCGTGGACCACTGGCCAGTAGATATCGCATACCGGTATGGCCTCTGCAGCCATGTCAAGAACTCAGATTCTTTACTCAGTCCGGGCCGTGATTCTGCAACCACTCGATATGCCAATTTGCTTTCGATAAACACAGGGAGGGGTGTCCTCTTAGCGTATGCAAGACAAGGAGAAGGGGGCACGAAATCATGATAATATTGTACAACGGTGGTAGCATATGTTTGCTTTGGTTTCGATTCGGGTCCGGTGCACAAAACAGATTGCTTTTCTAGATCCCGTTCACCCTGCGCTCTTATGCTGCCGAGTACTATCCATTCGGGTCCGGTGCACAAAACAGATTGCTTTTCTAGATCCCATTCACCCTGCGCTCTTATGCTGCCGAGTACTATCCATTCGGGTCCGGTGCACAAAACAGATTGCTTTTCTAGATCCCATTCACCCTGCGCTCTTATGCTGCCGAGTACTATCCACCACGGAAGCGCATGAACGTCGCAATCTGCCTCAAACCGATCGAGACCGCATGGATACCCAAACAATCGATCAAATCAAAAGCAAATCAAAGCAATGTGCACAGTAATTCTAAGATTCTAAAAGTCAGTATCCATTTCAGTGAAAAAAACGTAACGCAACCGCTAACCCGCAGCCACAGTGCTACAGTTCCGACCGCAGCGGTTCCTCGTCGTATTGACAGAGTCGTCCTTCGTAGCCAAGCGGACAATTGCAGTCTCCCGTGCTCTCATTACAAGTTGCATTTTGAAAGCAGCTGGCTCCGGTATCGGTACAAGCTTGTTCGTGCTCACACAAGTACCCTCCAAATCCAGTCTTGCAGATACATTGGCCACCCCCACCATCGTCTTGACCATCGTTATTCTGGGGTGTATCGTCTTGGCCTTCGCAGAACCCCTCGTTCAAACACGGATTAAAGGCAGATTGACACCATGCACACAAGAGGACCGTATCCAATGGCTGGGTTGGATCGTATCGATACAGATCCAGTCTTGTCTTGAGATTGCCATTGCTGGAGTTACTTTCCGTGGCGGCCAACGTCAACCATGTTCTGGTCTTGTACCACGATATTTCTATCGGAGTCACAAAGTCCGTGGGTGTTCCAATGTCCACCGAAGAACTCATCATGTGAAAGTCAAAGCCACTAAAGATGGCTAGGAATCGATCGTTCCGTAGAAAGCGTACCAACTCGGAGCGATAGGTGGGAACGGTACTCTTCCCGTGTTCATCAATAGTCTGTGCAAGGCCCCACCTTCGTCCCGTAAAGAGCAGCAGATCTTGAATGGGTCCTTCTTGTTCGTCGTTGTAATCAAATTGTTGTGGTTGGGACAATAACAGTCCGTTTGCTACCTGTTCTTCTTCTTCTTCCACCATGGCTGTCATGAGCGAAATGGTTTCATTCCCCACATCATCACTCATGACGCGATGATGGAGTTGTTGCAGTGTGCGTTGCTGTTGTTGGGGAGATGAGACATAGACGGGTTTGTTGTATACCACGACGGGAATTCCTTTATCGTCTCGCAGCAAGACATAACTGGACGATGGCAAGGTCCGTCCTTCGCCGTGTTTGTTTAGTACGTGTGGAAAGGGCGGCGTGCGCTGATCCAATTCGAGTGCGGTACACGGCAATGCATATTCGCAATGCAATCCAAAGCGTCCCCAATTGCAGTCGCATCGATTCGCTCTGCAAGTCCCGTGATTACTGCACGTCCGTCCAGCATTGCAATCCAAACAAAAGAGTGTCATCCAATCAATGGGCAAATGTGTCTGATTGGTGTACATGTCCCAGACCGTCCACGGCGTGGCCATGGTTTGTGTGAGATCGTACGTTTCGGTGGTTTGCGATTTGGCCCAGTAGAAGAGACAGGGATCATCGTTTTCGGGATCGACTTGTGTGACTTGCGAATCGTGTCCTTGGGCAAATTGCAAATCAAAACTGCCTCCCTTGAACGTCCATACTTGAAGGGAAGCGCAATAGGCAAATCGTGCCCCCGACGTGGCCGCGTAATACACGACCCGACCGGCAATGAGTTGTGTGGGATGTTGTTGGTATTCTCCCGACAATGCCGACAATTCGGGACGAAAGTCATCTCCAAATTGAACAAATAGATTTTGACAGAGGAATTGTCCGGTCGCTTGTTGCCGTACAAGTAGGGCATACCCCACAAGTAAGCCAATGGTAACGACGGCGTATACAGCTCGTTTGATGAGCGATGGATGCCAAAATCGACTGTCCTTTCTCAAATTGCGGGGTGCCGGCAACTGTACCATTTCCACGAGATGCGTGGTTTGTTCGACCCACATGGATACGAATCCCTGTTTGGCGACCCAAAACGCGACATCTTGAATTTCACCAATGAACTGTAGGGCGGCGAAATTGAGCATGAGTCCCAGTACCGATGTGGCTTGCATGTTCATGATGAATCCCACGACAATCATGCCCACGCCCGCGACGAGTTGTAGGAATGTACTAAGATGATACTTCCACATCCACATCCACGTGGCAGCCTTTACGGAATCGCGTGTAGCATCGAGTTGTTGAATGGCGAAAATGGCTTGAATGATGCGTTGATTGGTATGATTGTCGGCACCAATGCTAGCCGTGAATTTCTCCAGTCCAATCAGAAAGTTGGTGCCCGTCGCCACGGTCAAGAGCATGGAAGCGCCTTGGGCAAACGTAACTTCCTTGCTGACACCGGGAGGAATACGAAAGGGATTGTCGCGGTCTACTTTGACATTCACGCTGGTCCCCATGAGATCCAGCAACGTCAACAAGATCGTACTCTGCTGCAAAAAAATAATCAACAAACTGAACCAAAACGAAGCGCCGCCCCAATTGGACACTGTCAACAGACTGTACACGTCTTCGGTCATTGGCACTGTCTCTTCTTCTTCATGGTCATCATCACCCATCGAACCGAGTTCCAAGTCGTCGCCGTACTTTTCCAATGACTGCTCTTGTCGATGCTCATTGTCATTGTTGTCGTCGTCATCATTGGAAGTAGAGGCAGCAAACGCCATGCTGTCTTCGCGAGGCCTCAGACTGAAACGGACACTCGAGCCCTCTCGAGATCGGACAGACGCACCCGATGCATACGCCTTACTGGTAGTAGAGGTGGTCATTGTTTATATCCCATAGAAACGGTCTCGAAGTTTGATTGTTTCAGCTTCCAGAGTTCGTTTTATATTATGTAGATATACTAGTGGTTACGATTTAGTTTGTTTGGTGCCGGTTTGTCGGATGCGGGTGGTGCTCTTCTCCTGGTTGTCCAGGAACTTTTGATTAAGTCATAAACACGTTGTGCATTCGCTTCGCTTTGCTTGATATTTAACATTGTGGCATCAGACGGTCATAGTACGGGTCATCATTTGGAGAGTCAGTCGATTGAGTGACCGCAATCGAGTGGTCGAGTCGAGTCGAGTCGAGTCGAGTCGAGTCGAGGATACAGAGCTGTGATGTTAGGGTTAGCGTTTATCATTGTTTGACGTCGAGTGACGAGGGACGAGCGACAGGCCATTGTCACCTGTCACCCATTAAAGCAGGAAATGGAACCAAGTCAAAAGGAAGCAAGGCCTGATTCTCCAGAAAATAATAAATGTGTTCCTACCACTAGCTAGCTAGAGAAGAAGGTTCTCTTCTTTTTCACAGACTGAAAGAACATGAAGAAATAAAGCTTGATCCCCTGAGTTAACTCATGTCTCATGTCGCCAGCTTGTCTCTCAATTAAGCTTACTAGTACTCGATCGAGAAGAAGACAATGGTGGTTAAAAGAGCTGTTAAGAGGACCTTTAGCGATGTCAAAAGAACATGGTAGAATAAGGCTTTGTCGACTGAGCTAACTACCAAATAATGTCACTCACCTAGCTGCTGGTATCGATATCATACGGCTACTGAATAGGTACTACTCCGTAGTACATTGTCCGAACTAGGCTGGGCAGGTCTCACCCCCAGTGACGGTGGTACTAGTACCGGTATGCATGAAGAGCATCATGGTCGACTGGCCTTTAACAAACATCACCTGGCCAGCTAAAGATGATGATGAGGAACAGCTTCTTAAGCAGCTAGAAGCTACGTTCCGTACGGTACCAATAGATGATGCAGTAAGAAGGACCTCAAGTGTGTTACAAATTCGAAGCGAATAGCGGCCAGTCGCACAGAGAGAATCGAACCATGATGACCAGGTTGAGAAAGAACAAACAATGCAAATTGGTTCGGTGAGGGCAAGAAAAACCTGCGAGCCCTCGTCAACAGTGCAAATTTCGTCACATTTCCTCTGAACAACAACAACAACAACAACAACAACAACAACAACAACAACAACAACAACAATAGAGATTGACCATGGATCCAGAACAACTGGAACAAAGCCTCAATGTCATCAAGTCAAAACCTATCGATCCCTTGATGCAGCTTACTGAGATGGAAATAGCCAGGGCTGTCATCATCAAGGCCAGTGTCGAGAGGGACAACAGACTGCAGAATCGATCCGATTTTGAATATGTTCAGTATGCCCTCACAAACCTGAATGAAACTGTAGATCAAGTTCTGGAGCGAGTCTACTTGATGCAATGCTTTCGGCAAGAATACAGAATCAATGACACTCCCGAAGACGGAGTTGAATTCATTCACAAGCTTTCCCTCATGTGTCCTGGGCTCTTGCTTGCTGTGGATCCCCTGCCATTCCAACATAACTACACAGCAGCCGTTGATATGGCAAAGTTTCTTCCCGAAGAACAAATAAGAACAGATGAAGACTTGAGGGTTTATATGGGTGGCACTTACTATCAATGGAATAGTCTGTACCCAAACTTTATGGCCATTCGACAAGGTTGGACAATGGTTTGCGAATGTGAGGGGACAACAATGGCATCCTTGGATCCAGAGCTGATTGAAAAATTGGGGCATCACCTTTTCAAATCATATCCCAAAAACCAAAAGAATGTGTTCCTGCTCAATACACCCACAGCGATCAACATGTGGTGGGCCTTGTTCAAGAAATTTGTTCCCTACGATCAAAAGGGCAAGTATCATTTGGGACAGCAAATTGAAGGATTCGAAGGACATCGCATTGATGGACTCTACAAGACGCCAACCGAAGAAGCAGGAAGACAGAAAATGATCAGCCATGTCCACGAATTCCTGACAATTCGGAAAAAGAATGAAGCAGATTTTTGCTTGATGGAGGCAGCCCTCCAGATTTTGACTCTGGAGGAGGTGCATCTGGTAATTGCAAACCAGAAAGCTCAGATGACTAGCTGAACATGAACAGTAAGAAAATTTGCACATAGTCAACTTTGTGATCAGGCCAGTACTGGTAGTAGCACACATAGATGAAATCATAGGCACATTAGGTGCAGTAGGTATAACCATGATGGCGGGTCCTAGGTGGCGGCGGGGCAATGGCAGGCTCCGCTACGACATCCTGTGCTACCCAATCCTGCCAATACTATAGCAGACCAAGCAAAGTTGATCTCGTAGCCAACTAAATTACAAATGCTAGCTAGATAGGAACAGAATAGCAACAACAGCTTGATGACTGAAGTGTTGGAGGTCTTCTCCCACCTGCCTGTATATTTCGTATTCCTTGGACGTTCCTGATTTCCACTGCATCGATTTCTTCCTTCCCCCTCGATTGTCCGGTACCGCAACGGTACTCTGGAGGTCAACGGAGAACACGATCGTGCCATGCATTCACTGGCAGGACGCGTCCACCGTGGTGATCGATAGCGTCTCCTGCTATTTTGAATCCAGGAACCTCTCTATAACAACCTCAGACCCCAAATTGAGATATCAGACCCCAACTTGAGATATCAATTCCTGATCCCAATCGAGTGAGCGCCTTCTAGCTACTCATAATAGCTCAATAATGATTGGTCACCTTGATTTTTGCTTGCTCTGGATGAGTGGCTGAAAGAAGTAATAGATAAAAAAGCAAGGCACCTCGAAGATGAACAACAGCGGCACAAAAATCATGACAAAAAGCGCCGCGCCCAGTTTTGGCCCAATGTCCTCTAGATCACCCCATCGTGCTAGTAATGATTCCTTCCTGCGCTTGATGTCGTGACTTACGGCCGTGATGGCCAGTGTCAAACAGTACAAGGTATACACGGCCACGGCAACGGCAAGGATGCCAAACAATACCTGGAAAATCCAAATTTCCGTCAAGTTGTAAAAGGCAAAAGCCATGATAAATGGCACCAGTGCCACCCCAAATACCATCGCCAGGGATTTGGCTCCATGCTCCACGTCGGCGGATCGATAGGGGTTGATCCCCGTTCTACCGGTATTGACGTCAGTCATTGTTTCTACAAGCTCCCTTTGAATTGATTTTAATAAAATAAGATGGGCCTTTCTATGTCAGTGCGAGAGAACAGGAGCGAAAGCTCTGACTATACTATTTGATGATAAGCGCAAGAGGTGCGAGTTGAGCTCCACAACCAATGTCTTTGTCTTGCATTGTCGTCGTGCTTGTAACCGCAGCAACAAGCCAACAAGATCCGACGGTGGCTGTGGTACTGCAAAAAGCCAGCATTGCGGCTTGGACAAGCTGTTAATCGGTACCTTCGCTGTCTTTGAGCCCCTCACCCTTTCTCTAGTTCTTTAATTAACCCTGTAAGCTGCCTAAGCCGTCCATTGTCTCTCATAAGGGGGGTTTTAGAGTAGGGAAATTATCTACGGAAGCCAGCCGGGGCCAGGCTTAAGCAAAGAACAGTCGAAATTCAGGACTAGGTTCTGTGGGATCAGGGGCAAGAAATTGAGGACCATTACGGGGGGCAAAGGGTTTGGCTTTGCGGGAATATAATTTTTCCATCATGTGTCCTGGGCTGTTGCTTAGTGTGGATCATCTGCCGTTACAAGAAAGCTATTCAGTAGCCATTGATATTGCAAAACTTCTCCCCAAGGAACAAATCCGAATTCCAGGTTATGAAGGACGCCGCATTGATGGACTATTCAAAATGCCAACAGAAGAAGCAGGAAGACAGAGAATGATCAGCCATGTCCACGAATTCCTGACACTTCGGAAAAAGAATGAGGCAGAATTTTCCTTGCTAGCTAGAGAGGCAGCTCTGCAGGTCATGACTCTAGAGGAGGTGCATCAGGTAATTACAAACCAGAATGATCAGATTTGACTGCCTATCTGAACATGTACAGTCAGAAATTTGCATATAATCAACTTTGTGATTAGGCAAGTACATGAATTAGCTACATAGTCCCAACAGAACACCCAAGACCTTTGATTTTATTGCAATTTCTCCCCCCAAGAACATTTCAAACTGATGAAGACTTGAGGGTTAAGAACAAACTGACTGGCAATTAGCACTATTGGAACAGTCTGTTGATGGCCATTTGACAAGATTGAAGTTTTGTGAGTGTGAGGTGGTACTTGCGTAACATGAGATTCTAACATTGTTGCTGCTAGCTTGGCAGGTCAGTGTGGTTGTTCATAGTGGCAAGGGCCAAACAATGAGGGAACCTTCCTGCATAAACCATTAGAATGTCATGCAAACAGGGATGCTTACCTGTGACGTGCTGTGGGTGTGTTTGACGACAACTTCTCTTGGAGAGAGCTCGTACTGCGATGCCCTACTATACAGTAGTAACTCCCCATTCATACAGTAGTACCATACTAGATCTGTCCATACTGTACTAGCTTGCTAGCTTGTAGTAGCTATGGATGCATAGCTAGATTGGGCAGGCAGCGTTCTCAAAGGAGACCAGGCAGACCATACTCGGAAGATGAAGATTCGGAAGTCGGCGTGAAGATTCGATTCGCATGATGTCATCTCTGGATCTCTGGATCCCAGCTTTCTCATTCATCTTTTTCTCTTGCACCATTGCCTTCATACCGGTGACCGTGACGGTAGTTCTGACAACCGCATTTGCATGGTCCCGTTGCCACTCCCACCACGAACTATACGCGGCAATCAACCATTAGCAAGGAAGCCTATAGACAGGATTAAGCTGCACTTGTATGGACACAACTCCGACGATCGAGATCTTTTGTTGTCACGGCCCTGGACGACAATCGTACGAATCGAATCTAATCTCCAAAACCGACTCCCTGAACTTGATGACAGCTTGGAGTTCTAACAAAAAAAGTTGCAACGTCAACCCCATTGTTTCCTTCCTACCGTATCAGTCCAAACAAGTGTTGAGTTGACTGCAATTCAGTATGAAGTTTTCACATACCCTTTCCCTGAACTCGAATCCGGACTGGGCCAAGTTTTACATTGACTATGCAGGTTTGAAAAAGGTCATTCATGAAGTGGAGCAGCAGACCACCACTCCAGATGCTACTAGTAGTATTGCCACTAAGGAACTGCTGGCCGAGACACGACGGGAACGTTTCTTGACGGAGTTGACTCCCATGGTGAAGGTGGTGCGTCAATTTTACGACACGAAGAAGGCGGAATTGGACATGGAATTGGCCCATTTGCAGCCTTTGTTGGAACGATCGTCATCTCGATTATCTCTCTTGAGTTTGAAAGACGATGAAACAACTCCACTTGTCATGAGCAGCATGAAATCCACGTCGTCCTTGGCCAGTCATGTCAATCTAGAAGATCAACGACGCCAAATTGGACATCTCTTTACCCAGTATCACAGCTTGAAACAATACGCACAACTCAACTGTACCGCCGTTCGCAAAATCTTGAAAAAGTACGACAAGACCATGCTCGACAATCTACTCACCACGCATTTGGAACCACTTCGTCTCTTGTTGCCCTTTTGGGATCATGATCATGATCATGATCAGCCCGAGCAAGTTGATCGATCCATTGAAACACTACAGACCTATTTTGCACACTTTTATTGCAATGATAATGCAGATCAAGCCAAACGACAATTGCAACTCATGGTACGAGAAGTCATCACCTTTCAACGACATTCCGTGTGGCTCGACGTCATTCAAGATCAGCGCAAAAAGGAAGCCGCCGTCGTACGAGATGCCACCACCAGTGCTTCAACTCCAACTGCCAACAAACCACAACCACCATCGATACTTGACAAACAACCCACTAAAACAGCACTCTGGACTCTTATGACAAGCAATACCAATGCCATCACGGGAACCATCAGTGTCATTCTATTTCTTTCCATTCTCTGGTGGCCCGGCAACATCTTTGGGGAAGAAGAGGACGATGACGAAACGACCAAACGCAATGCACTCGCACTCCTCGTCTTGGTGTCCATGCTTTGGGCCGCCGAAACGATACCACTCTTTGTCACGTCCATGTTGGTGCCCTTTTTGACCGTCGTACTACGTGTCATTACCGATGAAGAAACTGGAAGACGATTGGATGCTAACGCCGCATCCCAATACGTCTTTGAGGCCATGTTTTCACACGTCATTATGCTACTCTTGGGAGGATTCTCCATTGCCGCCGCCTTGTCGAAACACAACATTGCCCAACTACTCGCCACGGCTATTTCGAGACGCTGCGGAACGGGTATAAGAACGGTCCTATTGGTGAATATGCTCCTTGCCACGGGCGCCAGCATGTGGATCTCCAATGTCGCGGCACCCGTCCTCTGCTATTCCCTGCTTTCGCCCATCTTAAAGGCGAGTACAGCACAAACCAGCCGCGCCGTGTTTGGAACCACGCAACACGTCGCCGCCGAACAAGATCATCGACTTTGTCGGGCACTTGTGATGGGGATTGCACTTGCTTCCAATGTGGGGGGCATGGCATCGCCCATTAGTTCTCCACAGAATCTATTCGCCATTGAATACACTGATCACATTGGATGGTTGGCATGGTTCACCGTGTCGATTCCACTCTGTCTTACACTCAATGTCCTGCTCTGGGGATGGCTAATTTTCTGCTATCAATTGCCACGAGGCGAGTCAACGGCGGTCCAATACGCATTGCGGCAACGAGATCATCAAAATCGATCTACCAAAGAACCCTTTACCAAGGAACAGTACTACGTTATTATTGTGTCGGTGGGCACGGTCCTCTTGTGGTGTGCCAGCATCAACTTGTCCGAGTATACCGGTCAAATGGGCATTCTCGGCATTGTTCCATTTTGCATGTTTTTTGGATACGGCATTTTGACCAAGGAAGATCTCAACAGTTTTCTATGGAGTGTCGTGATTCTCGCCATGGGAGGACTCGTACTCGGAGAAGCCGTCCGCACGTCCGGACTGCTCACTGTCATTGCAGAACGCATTGCCGTCTTTATCGAATGCAATCCACAACTCGACAGTCTCTGGGCAACAATGTGCATCTTTTGCACCTTGATCTTGGTCTGTACGACTTTTGTCAGTCACACCGTCGGAGCCATTGTCGTGATTCCAATCGTTCAAGCGGTGGGATCGCAGATGCAACCCGTACCGCATGACAAGGAATTGGTCTTTGCATCCGCATTGGCGTGTTCGGCCGCCATGGGACTGCCCGTCAGTGGCTTTCCCAACATGACTGCCATCAGCGTGGAAGATCGACTGGGGAATCGGTACCTGACCGTTCGAGACTTTTTGCAATACGCACTCCCGGCATCGTTGCTGGCGTTGATGGTGGTGGTGACACTGGGATACTGGTTGGTCAAGGTTGCTGTGCAAATAGACGGATGAGGAAGCAAAAAGATTCTTGCAGGCAAGCTATAGTCCATGATTCTTACTGTAGTACTGGTACATGCACGAATAGCTTTTGCTCTCTACCGTCCCTTGACGTACCGTATACGAGGCCATTTCTATGCACGGAACCCGGTCCTGAATTGATCTCTTCTTTGCCTAAGCCTGGCCCTCTCTGGTGTATAACCTCCCTATACTCACTCCAAACCGCTTTATCATCTTCTTGCAGGCCAGCATTGTCCATGGTTATTACTGCGGTTATGAATCTATAGCTTTGCTCAGTTTGACTATTTACGATCTTTCGCTTGCTTGCGGCAAAGCAGCTTCGGCTCCTCCCTCTTGGAAAGGCGTTCGGGAGAGCGATGGTGCCACTCCAATGGCTGGGGATTTCCGAACAGTTGTGTATGAGATTTAACGGCACTTCTTCGATGACTATGATGGTCAAACTACAGTCATACGTAAGGCAAACAGGATTTAAGTTGACGTGAAGACAGCTTGGAGCCCTCGAGACTTTGTCGCGGCGAATCTCGTGTGCGACACGGCGAAGGGTGGCGTTACCGGTTCCTTTCCCCAATCTCTCACAATTATTTCTCCTTGTTTCTCGAAGCTCGGCTTTATCTCCATCTCTCGAACCTCGGCTGGTACTCCTGCCCCCCAAGAGAAGAGGAGACGAAAGAATGAAGCTCGACAGTTATGAGTCCGACGGCCTTCGTACCCTTACCACTGGCAGCAAGTCCGATGTGTACTGTGGAGATGAACCAGAGGTCTTCGAAGATGACTTCGACACGTCGCGTTCAACCATGCTCCATAGCACAAGCAGCAGTCGCCAAGACGAAATCAAGGAGCATTCAATGAACATTGAAAGAACAACAAAGCGTACCCTTCTGATGGCAGCATTGGTGACCTTGATGGGTGGTATTGCATCAGCAAGTTTCATTTTTGTGACCATTACAAATGAACGAAGGTCAAAAGAAGCCTTGTTTATCAGACGTGCTGCCGACTTGGCAGAAAGCATTGTCATCAGCTGGCATGATTATGAAACAGCGGCCCTTTGGATTCACGAATCTTGCCATGATTGGAGGACAAACGGTTACGACAGATTCAACTTTAGGACTCTGTATGAGTACTTGGAGAGTTCTGGACTAGACTTTTACTTGATTGAATGGGTTCCTAATGTAACCCATGCAGAACGCCCAGCAATTGAAAATTCTACTGCAGACTTCTTTCGAAAGTATCCCCAAGGACACAACTACAAAGGCGGGTTTGTTGGAATGGAACCAGTCGCTGGCAGCAACGCAGGTGAGCTGGCACTGGATGTAAGATCCAATCAATCCTTTTACTTCCCGGTTCAGTTCCTTGAACCCTGGCAAAACGCTGGTGATTCCACACATTTAGATTTGTGGAGTCTCCCTTGGGAACAACCCATCATTCAAAAGGCATTGCAGAAGGCGGTTCCGGTCCTCACAGCACCCTTCATCTTGGCTGGAAATCATGACCAGAATGCAGGGTACTCAGTAGTGCTTTATCATCCAGGAAAACCAGTTATCAGCAGACATGATCCACAACCCACTGACCTTAGCAACGTCATCATTCATATCAATGCACTTTTGACCAGGGCTGCCATTGCACAAGGTGTTAGCATGGGGGCGTATCTCTTTGACTCTACAACCACCAACATTGATCCCGAGATGCCTCCAAATTTCATGGGTGGAATCAAGATTGAGGTAGAATCCTCTATAGATACGAGCACAGGTGAAACCCAGCAGCAAGAACAAGACAACCAAACCTTATCCACATTTCCTGAAATCTCACTGACTGATCTGGTAGTTCAGAATGATCCAAAATTGATCTACCAGGACAACTTTGTTGTGGGGCAACGGACATGGACTACTGTTGTTGTACCCATTGATGAAACCTATGATCCAGATATTACGTTAGCCATGGTCAGTGGTGCACTGATCTTTGTTGGTGCTCTCTTGCTTTCCATTTGGATGATTCACAACATGCGAAGATCCATCAAGATGCATCGAATCTTATCTGAGGCTGCGGCTGAAGCTGCCATAGTTTCCAACCTGTTCCCCGGAAAGGTCCGAGTACGAATGATTGAAGATGCCAAGAATCAAAAAAGTGCTTTGGGAGCACCAAGAAAGAAGGAAGATATCTTTTTGAGGGATGGGGATGGGCAACATCGATTGTCAGTAAAAAAGCTCAATACCTACCTTTCTAGTGAGGGGATCTTTGGAAGCAAGCCCATTGCTGAACTGCATCCCTACACAACAATCATGTTTGCTGATCTTGTGGGCTTCACTGTAGGTGAACTCTTGTGCATTTGTTGTCATTGCTTATGTTTTACTGTGGAGTGTGCAATCTGATGCTATTGTCCCCTGCATGGTTTGATCATCATGCGCATGAAGGCATGGTCCTCTGTCCGTGAACCATACCAGGTAAAAACTATTCTCCATTGGTGTTTTTCTTTACAACAGACTTTCAATGAACTAAAACGTGTATTCAACCTCACAATCCTCCTATATATAAAGGTGTTTACCCTCCTTGAGACACTGGTAAGGAATAGCAATGAGATTGTAATTTCAGGGCACTTCCAGTTGCTAACCAACTTCTTTTACATTCAGTATTATGCCTATGACAATATTGCGGCACGCAGAAGGGTATTCAAAGGTACTTGCTCATGCAGAGCTAACATGCTGCTATACTGAAAGTTCAACTTTCACTAACCACCGCTTCCCTTGTTTCCATTCATGCAGTGGAGACCATTGGGGATTGCTATGGTAAGTGCGCAAGAGTGCAACATCACATTATATGACGAAAAAACAGATTTTCTAATGAATTTATCACTGTCTTGCAGTGGCAGTTTGTGGTCTTCCTGATAGGAGGAAAAATCATGCTGGTAGGTTGCTCTCAAGTGTTGCAGCATTGAATTTTCAATGCCACCACAATGGTCTGACAACACATCTTTGCTTGATCCGTCTACACTTATAGTTATCATGGCAAGATTTGCCACTGATTGCATGCATCGAATGCACAAACTAGTAAAGGCTCTAGAGGTGACATTGGGCCCTGACACCTCTGACCTGGGTATTCGAGTTGGTAGGTGTTTCTCAGATATACATACCTTATGGGTTCTGCATTGACCTGCATCATCTCATTGACTTTCTCTTCTTTGGCAGGGCTCCATTCTGGTCAAGTAACGGTAAGATCAAGTGATGGGGTCCCAACCTCGCGGTCCCTTGTTTTGTCCAATAACTTAACCAATAGCTCCAATGACAAACCAATACCTCACATACTCCTCATACGTTCTCCAAAAAGGCTGGAGTCCTAAGAGGAGACAAGGGTCGGTTCCAGCTGTTTGGTAAGAAAAACCTCAAGTTTGACACGAATGCATGGACATTGGCTATTGTGCATGTGTAGGTGCACTAAAAGTTTCTGTTTATCCTGTCTTGTTCTTTCAAGGGGACACAATGAACACTGCCAGCCGAATGGAATCAACTGGAGTTAGAAACAAGATCCAGGTCTCTCAGGAGACTGCTGACCTTCTCACAGCTGCAGGCAAGGGGGGTTGGCTAGTGCCTAGAAAGGACATGATCACTGCAAAAGGAAAAGGAACCTTGCAAACATACTTCCTCAAGATCCTGTCAAAGTCCCAGGGTTCTGCTGAATTCAATATGCAGAAAGTACGAGGGTCTGATCATGGCAATCTTAGGGTTCAGGAGGAAACCAAGATGCATCGCCTCGTTGACTGGAATGTGGAGGTGCTATGCCAACTTATCAAGCGAATTGTTGCACGCCGAGCAGCTGCTATGGTGGAACAAAAACCCTACACTCCGGATTTCCATTCCTTTGACTCTGCAAAAATGCCACTGGATGAAGTTGCGCAAATCATCAAGCTCCCCGATCTTGATGGTACCGCGGTCAAAAGGCAGGTGGACTCTGAATGCATTGAGCTGGATGGAGATGTCATGGCGCAATTGAAAGACTTGGTAACAAAGATTGCTACCATGTACCACTCCAATTTCTTTCACAACTGTAAGGCGTGATTGGTTTCCATGAAGTATTCTATTTTGCAATTTGACCCACCCCAGTAATTCACTTGCCCACACTTATTTCTCTTGCACTTCTCTAGTTGAGCATGCATCTCACGTTGGCATGAGTGTTCAGAAGATGCTCTCTCGGATTATCAATCCAAAGGAGATCTTTCTGAAAAGGCATCAGGGGGATGATTCAAAATTGGATTCTGAGCTTCATGAGTAAGCAGTGCATAGGTGTCATTTATTAGTGCTTGTCCCATGGCACCTTCCTGACCATATCTTTGATTTGTCATCCTAGCCATACCTTTGGGATCACTTCGGATCCTCTCACTCAGTTCGCCTGTGCTTTCTCTGCCTTGATACATGATTTGGATCATGGAGGTGTACCCAACACAGTCCTGATGAAGGAAGGGAGCCCCCTTGCAGAGAAGTACAATCAAAAGAGCCTTGCTGAACAGGTATGTTTGCCCCTCTTTTTCTGACCTGTGGCCATTCATTGCAACTAATTTCCTCATGAACCCCCATTGTCATGCTTAGAACTCCATTGATTTGGCATGGGGATTGCTTGGAAATCCAAGCTATGATAAGCTCCTCAAGACAATCTGCTGTGATGAGGACGATTTCAAGAGGTTTCGGCAGTTGGTGGTCAATTGTATGTACCAAAGCATTTCTTTATTGCATTGTTGACTGTGCCTCTTCAGTGGATCTAACCGAATGCTTGCCATAAAACTAGCTGTCTGTGCCACTGATGTAATGGACAGAGAATTGGGAGCAACTCGCAAGGCACGCTGGGACATGGCCTTCAGTGAAGAACCCAGGAATGAGCCCAAGAACGAGACAGTCAACCGCAAGGCTACCATTGTTGTAAGCATCAAGACTTTGCTGTGTTGCAGAGCCATGACTTTTTGAATGCTGATGCTTGCATGAAAATATTCTTCTACCATTCAATACTTTGTACTGCTACAGATTGAGCATTTGATCCAAGCTTCAGATGGTAAGTTGAATGGAACAACTTATTGACCATATATGTCAGTGATGTCATGTATCTGACCTCATCTGCATGAATACCTGGTTGTTTCAGTGTCCCACACAATGCAGCATTGGCACATCTACACCAAATGGGTAAGCTTACAATTCCAGATGCTTCTGTATACAGCCAACACAGGAAAGCCATGGATCATCCTCTCATGGTACTATTTGTGGTTTCATTGCGAATTCCAAACCACCAGAACAAACGACTCTTTTTGAGCTCTACAAAGCCTTCAAGGCTGGACGATTGGAAAAAGACCCCAGTATCAGCTGGTATGAAGGGGAGCTGGGTGAGTCTAGTATTTCTTTCTTTTCTGTTGTTGTGGTTCTTAGCGGCGATGCTTACCAATGGATTGTCTGCTGTTGCTTCAGGATTCTTTGATTTCTATATCATTCCACTGGCGAAGAAGCTGTTCAAGTGTGGTGTCTTTGGAGTCAGCAGTGATGAGTTTTTGAACTATGCCGAGATCAATCGCAAAGAGTGGGAGAAGAAGGGGGCACAAATGGTCCAGAAGTATCTGCAGGACTATGAAGCAGATTGTGGGGTGACTCCTGAAGGAAGACTCTCCTATGACACTATGAGTGAAGATGAATCTGACGACGATTCTATGGGCCAGTTCAGTGTATGAGGGATCATCGACTGTGAAGGCATGCGCTGAGTGCGCCGCCAAGCCTGCATACTCAACTTCTGTGGTTTCAGCTCGAGCTGGGATTGTTTGAGGATGACGAACAGTTGGATGGCTGTTTTCAGTGTTCCCTTTAGGCATTATCCGTGTACATTGTTTTTAATCAAGCTTCCTATATATCTTACATCTGTCTATGGTTGCTGCGTCTTGCTCCAGCTAGTCAGGTTGCCTATAGAGAAAGTTGCACTTCCGTCAAGAGAGGCAACCGGTCGATCATCATCTGAGAGAAAGCTCTTGGCCTCAGAATGTAAGTCGTTTTGTTTGTTCAGTATGCATTGCTAATACGGAGCTATACAAGAACATTCAAAACTGTGGGGATCAGTGATGCAGAACATTGTGTTGCCTCAGGTGCAGAGTTGGGAGGATGAGGACTATAATTGTCGACACCGAAGCAAGCGTGAGGGGCGACTTCTCGTTCATCAACTCTGGGCCTCTGGGTCTTCAGAGCAAGAATGCGCATTTTCAGTTTCTGTTGCGACTTGTGCCGCCTTGCTTATTGTTTCAACGCCCGCGTCTCCGTCGTCGCGGTCCTTATCCATCGTCGATTCGTGACGAGATATCTGGTCGAGTGGTTCACAAGCTTCCAATTCGTCCGCGCCTTTACCGGTGTGCCCCTGAGGTTCGCTTCGATCATCGACGCCCTCCTCGAGGCGACAGAACTCTTCCGTCATGAACCTGCAGGATTCCTCAACATCCATTGCCTCGTCGACTAAGATCAAGACCTCTTGATCCCTCCTGTCAAGTACTGGAGGCGCACTCCCATCATCGTCATCGTCTATTCGGAACTCTTCCGTTATGAACTTGCAGGTTTCATCATCTCCGATTGCAGTGCTCGGTACAATCAGAAAGGACCTCCGGATGCTGCTGCGACGGCGGTCTCGAGGACGTGAGTTTGCCTCTTCTTCTCGTCTCAGAGGCAACGCTTCATTTTCTGGCACTGTCGAAAACCCCGTCGACCGGGTTTTATAGTGCTCGTACCGGTGCTGTTGTTGGATTGGCAGGAGCAATTGCACATGGCAGCAGGTGGCGAAGGAGGAGCCAACACCTGAATTCGTCCACTGGCATGATGAACAAGGCTTCCCGAGAAATGATCGCTGACTCGGAACGGGCCGCTTCCATTGGTCGGCACAATGGACATTGACGAGTTCAGTTTACTGGCCGTCAGCAACCGTCGTCAAGATTTCGTCGATTGTTGAATCAATTTGGCAATACGTGCTCGTTGGACACTGGCTGGTTGGCGCTTGAACTGCTCATACAGGACCAGTTTGGGAACAAAGATCAAAAGCAGAATGGCAGAACACATGACAAAGATCATAAAGACCGAGACCATGTAAAAGGCCTGAGGCGATTCCTGGCCGACAACCATGAGAATGGGCAAGCCACTGATTGCGGCTTGAAGCATACTGGCCATGGCCATGGCAATGTACTTGCTTTCGGCAAACTCTTCGTTGATAGCCCGGGCCTTGTACGCAACAACGTTGGCAAAGAGGAGGACGAGTCCGTTGATTATCGCTAGTGGAACGGCAAAGTCGGCAGTCGTGTCGGAATGACATTTGCCAAAGGTACTAATTGGTCGGTCCCATCCATCCGTACCCTCCTCATCGAATCGGACGTAGTGCATTGGATCCAATACCGTCCATGTCGTCAGTATCGTGCAGTTGATGACCAAGAGTGCCAGTAGGGGGAGTAGGAGCGCACCTCCTTTGTTGTTCTTGACGCGAGTGAAGCGTGTCCCCGATTCAAAGAGTACCGTGACACGGTAGATTTTGGCATTCAAAGACGAAAAGCAAATGGTGAATCCAACCGTCAAGAGCCATATCGGGCTCATGCAAATCGCCACACCTTGAGCATTGTCGTCACTTTCCGGGTTCGTGTTGGTGCCAACTTCCTCCGCACGACCATCCTGGTAGTTATCGTCAAATCCCATTGGCAAAATGGCCGCACTCATAATGAGCACACCGAGGGCCACCATGATGAGGAATTTGGGCTGCGCCACCTTGACGACTCTGGCATTCCGATTGATGGCCGTCCAGATGGAGAAGGACAATGCCATGACTGCCACCAAAAAGAAAAGTGTGTATCCCACGAACCGCAGTTGCCCGATCAAGTTGTGATCCACCGTGTGATCGGGTAGAGTGAGTGGAATCAAGAGATGTTCCAAGACGTTGGTTCCAATGAAGGAATCCGTTTCATACTCTGGATTGGTGGCAAAGGAATGCAGTGTTTCCAGACTGAGAGACCCCATATCATAGGGAAGTTGTCCCACAAGTCCATGACAAAAGTGTCGATCCAAGAGTTCCAGTTGATTGGGCATGGCGTCTCCGACGACCAATAGCATGCCGTGATATGCCTTGACGAAGTCTCGCCATTGATTATGCGGTGCCCGCATGCCGGCACCCATGACAGGAATAATGGCCTTGAGGTCGGCATGGGTTTCTGCAAACTGGTGCATTTGTTGGACTACCAGGGTGGAATTGGCATTGTAATCCGAGGGCGAACTATCAACTTCAACCCATCCTTCCTTGATGAGGTGATCTCGTACTCCCTGCTCTCGCTCCACCAGATTGGGCGCTCCTGCCGAGACAATGGCGAATTTGCCGGGTTCGTTTGGTTCGACTTGTTTGAGAACCTTGGCGAGTTGGGTTCCAAAAAAGTAGTTGTCCTACATGCAACAAAGCATTGGACCAGTCAGTCAAACAAAAAGTAAGGTAAGGAAACTGCGGACTTTCCCAGTATGCTTGCAAGTCAAATTGTAGCTACATCATATCTTACCGTCCCAATGTAAGCCAACCGCTTTGTATTGGGCGCATGCGAGTCATAGGTAACGACAGGAATGTTGTGCTCCCACGCACGGTGAATGACGTTTCCTAGACTGGACGCATTAATGGCCGAGACAGCGATCCCAGCCAGAGGAGCCACTCCAGCCGTGTGGTTGGCCAATAACTCTTCCATCAGTACCACCTGCAGACGGCCCGTGGGATCATAGAGTGGTGGGCAATGGTAGAGGCAATGGGACTGCAAACGTTCGGCCGCATCGTGACAACCCTCGGCAATGACGTCGATAAAGGGATTGTGGCATCGTTTGGTCACCAGGGCAAATGTCAGGGGGTTGGAAGTGGAGGTAGAGGAAAGAGAAGATTGAGAAGACGTTGAGGAATGCGAGATTTCTTCCAACTGTAGTCCTGTCTGGTCCATGCCATTGTGATGCTGATGTAGTGTTCGTCGAGGAGGGGGTAAGGATGTTGTGGTATACCTATGTCCAGTGCTTTCATGGCTGATACTCATGTCCTGGTGGCCCTGCTGATGGTGGAGTCCGGCCCCATCAGATAGGAGACCAACGACGGTTGACACTGCTGAGCAGACCAGCAACAGTACAAGTCTTGTCTTGAGGGGACCTTCTTGCATCTTGCTTGGAGGATTTCAGTGATTGTATCGATGGGTATATTTTAAGTACTGTATATCTATGGGGGTTATTTGAGGTGACTCTGGTACAACTGTATGCTGCCAAGCCTTGTCGCCTTTTAAAAGCAAGCTTGGAGAGGGGAGCTACCGTGGCTTTATTGAAGCAGCTCAATGCTGCTTGTGCCAACGCGTCTTGGTCTTCCTCTTGAGGATAAATGAGGACAAGCAAGAGCTGCATACTCAGTCTGATTACATGCACCTGACCAGGGCTGGATTGCATGGACTGGCTTGGATTGAATCATTCTTCCGTCAGCGGAAGAGCATCTTTTGTATTCGGTACCGTTTCGCTGAGGTGAGCCGGATGTCAGCGCAACATCGAGATAAGCCATGCCCATCAACGACAAGATACATGTACACCCAGCATGCATAAAGCTTTCCACGATGGAACTTAGGAGCTATGCTCACCGGTACAGAGGTGCATTCGGCAAAGCAATCCAATAAACAAGGAAGACTACGACTGGAAGTTTTACACCGTCCAAGAATGCTGCAAGACAACTCCTACTGGTCTTCACGTGGTACCGGTATGTGCTTCTTGTTTCGTCGTGACCTCAGAGATAGAGGAGGTATTAACAGAAATGCCTCCTTCAAGCTGATATTAAATAAAAAACGGATCTTCCTGGTACCATTGACCGCGAAATCCAGCTGAGACATGTCCCGCTTGAAATGCCATACTGTATGATGAAGATCCTTGTCGCGTGGACGACGCTCTTCTTTGTTCGTCATGAAGATAATATTTACAGGTCAAGGTGACCTTGCCACTGAATAAGGAATCGCTGAAGGCAGCCCAAGGAGCACCTGTCTCTATCGAGCAATTGAGTTTTACCGGTAACCGGGTGAAAGGCACCGGTTTTTTGATCCCATGCTGCCCCAAACCTCGCTCTTGTTTTCCAACTTGGCCCGCTGCACCTACCGTACCGGTACTGAGCACACGCATTCGATTGAGCATTCGATCCGATTCGATTCTATGGTTTGTTCATACCGGTACCGTTCCGCGGAGCCTGGCCATTGACCTGCATAGAAATCTCTTTCAAACTTTGAAGATGAAGAGTAGGTACGATGCGTCTGCGGTTGTCAATTTGATGTTGGTAATAGCCAGTGCCGCCTACTCCCTTCATTCCATGGCAACACACGGCCGTTCGGCGCTCGAGAGAATGGTCGTGTAAGAGCTCGTCTATTAATAGATGCTTGTTTAAAAATGCACTAGTAGTACGGAAGAAAGGTTGTGTTAACTTCGAGCGGCTAGTTTCTACTAGCTGGGGAAAACCAAACTTTCGAATTGAATCCAGCAAATAGTAAGACGGCGAACAAGAATTCGTTCGGTGCTCAAGCCAAAACTTCTATCGAACTTTCATACCCAGATTTTAGCTTTAGTGAGTCTGAAATAGACCGTCGCTTCTAGATAGTAGCTCATCGACGCGAGCTAGTGTGATATATGCACAAATCATCCAATGCCGCCCTCGCTCCTCGCTGATTACTACTGGTTCGTGTCTCCTGCTATCAGACAGATCGAACACATCAAAGATGGGACGGGTGCCCAGGCAGGACATTTATTTGTTGGCTCGTTCGAAAGAGCAAGCTTTCGGTGAAGGACCATTTGCCAGAGTTGGAACAACTGGGCGAAGCTCGATTGTCAAGCATGTCATTGTTGTTTGTGACTCGACCCGACTCCCGCGAAGCGAAGTGTGACTGCACCTTTTGCTTCCTCCAGCTCCCCGATCTCAAATTGGCGCCGGTACATTTACTGGTATCTTGGGGGAAAACTAAGAGCCGCGCTCCGCCAGGCGCATCGGCGATCGACCCATGTTTGGAACAAACGCACCTCCTTCCTCGACCATGGGTATCGCTGCATTTTTATCAATGGAGGCATCACTGCGTGATTCCCCTCGAACGCCTGGAGAGATGAGCAGCGAGAAAGATAGCAGTGACACTCCGTCTCCGGATCCGACGGCAAATGAACCAGGCGACATTCTCACAGTGGACCCCATCATCTGCAGTGTCCCCGATCCGTCTCCCATGTGTTGTGGCTGCTGCGTCCCTCATGCATGGACGACCCCGAAAGAAACGCCAGCGTTAGTGGCCGAACATGAACGACAGGGTCGTCGAATCGCCCTGAAGGATGGCAGTTCTGTCTTTGTCCGAGATGAGACTCCCCAGGATAGTGTCAAGATGACTGTCGTAATGGTCCATGGAGTCCCAGCGTCTAGCTTTCTCTACCGCAAGTTCTTTGCTCCCTTGGTAGCTGAGGGATATCGCGCCATTGCCTTTGACTTGCCAGGCTTGGGACTTAGCGATAAGCCCTTGGACCGAGACTATTCGTGGCCCGCCATGGCTGAAACGCTGCACGAAATCATGGGGCACGAAGATCTAGCCATCAACACAAAGATCCACATGGTCATTCATGATATCGGTGGCCCGATTTCTGCTCTCTACGCCGCAGATCATCCAGAACGCGTCGAATCCATCACGGCGTTGGATACCTTGCTGGACATTGCCAGCTTTAGTCCCCCCTTTCCCATGTTCTTCTTTCCCATTCCAATCATTGGCAATATTGCCATTGCCTCCATGACACCTTGGGTGCTACGACAGTTCATGTATCTACGAGGTGTGGCCGACACGGAAGCGTGCGACCACGAAGAAGCCATGGCTTGGGTATTCTTGCTCAAACGACAAAAGGGAGCCGCGTCCTTTTCCAAAATCATGAAGTCGTTCCCTTCGGGGAAAAGCAAAAAGCAAGAGCTAACCAACAAAATTCAACAAGCGCTAGGAACGGAACAACAACTTCCCATGCAGGTTATCTGGGCGCAAGGTGAAGTTGCCATTCCTCAATCCCAGTGCGAGTACATTCGCGAGAAATTCCATGTCACGGGAGATACGCAACACGTTCCTGGACGACACTTTTTCCAACTCGAAAGTGCAGAGACAATCGTACAGCACATTCATCAATTCTTGCAGGAACGCCAACAACAATAAGCAAAAATTGCCACCAACAACCCAAACAACCAACGATTAAAGTCCCATCACCGGAGCATCGTAACAGCAGTGGGCTACATGTACTGTATCTGGAAAGTGGCTGTCTACAATGTCCCGTGTTCTTTGTTTGCCTCCACATGTACAATAGACGACGTTCTTGTGCCCTTGCCTCCAACACCCAACGTGCTTTTGCCACGAAAAAACTTTGTTGAACTACTTCAGAATTCATAACACTAGCTACAGCACTTCTTGTCGTCTTATTATTTGTTTTTTGGCGACCCTTTAGGAGTGGCATGTGCACCGTCGACCGAGTAGCAGTCATGTGGCTCTCGTTAGTTCGGTTTGTGGTGCTGCAACAGCTCGTTGGCCCAACATCAGCACACGAACCACACCCGTAAGTTGTCCCCATTTTGACACCCCAAGCTGCTTCAACGGAAGCTGAGCTTTGACCACGGAACAAGCTCGCTCTCGCATGATAGCCGATCTATCAAGTATCCTGACCTCCAGTGGCAGTGACATTGCCAGGGGATGTGGAATTTTTAGGACCTACCTGAGTTCCGTTGTTAGGACCGAATTGAGTTCCATTCGTTGGACCGAACTGAGTTCCATTGTTCGGACCGAACTGGGTTCCATTGTTCGGACCACTCTGAGTTACGTTGTTAGGACCACCTTGAGTTACGTTGTTAGGAGGACCGCTCTGAGTTCCGTTCGTAGGTCGACTGACAACTCCAGTGTTGGAACTTGATCCATCACAACACTGGAATTGCCCACCGCAATCTGCCTGTATATCCAGTAGTCCCTGTTGTTGCCATTCACAAAGGGCATCTGGAGGCGATCCAGAAACATTTGTACCCACAATGTTCAAGGAGCTCAAGTCACTCAATGCTGCTAACTCAGTTGGCAAGGTTCCTCCCAAGCCTGCGTTGTTTCCAACATCCAATCGCTTCAAGCCACTCAGCTGATCCAGACTGGACGGTAGAGACCCCGTATATCGATTCGCTGTTATGACAAGGTCAGAGAGAGAAGGCAATAGCCGCAACAGACCTGAAAGCGAGCCAGAGAACTGGTTGTCATCAATGCGCAGAGTGGCCAGATCGGAGGCAACGAATCCCAGCTCGGCATTCAATTCTCCCGTCAACTGGTTTGACGACAGGACCAGCCATTGCAAATTTCTTGCACCAGCAAACAGGGAGGGAGCAGTTCCGTAAAGGCGATTGTGTGACAAGTCCAGAGAAGCCAGAGCAGGAAAGAAGAACAATTCCACTGGCAAGACTCCGTCTAAGCCATTCTGCGCCAAGTCGAGCTTGGTAATGTGAAAATCGAAGTTGCAGATGGGTCCTTCGGTTTCATTGTTGGGGATCTGATTGTACCAGCGGCATTCGTCTTGATCGTATTCGAGCCACAGGTCATTCCGTTCCCACAAATCACCAGAAGTGGAATAGTATAGAGTCGCCAAGGAAAATCGTTGCAATAAACGCTCTTCATTGTAGAAATCCCGATTAGGATCTTCATTCATCCATGTATTTGCTCTGGATTGTGGACTGCAGGGATCGTCGAGGGCTTGAAGAGTCAGGTAGTGAAGCCTATCAAGGAATGGAGGGTAGTTACGGCATGCAGCATTGGAATTGACCTCTGAAACGTTTGTGGTTGCGTTTGGAAAAGTAGTGATGTTGAGAGTGCTGGTGACATTCGTGGAGCTGGTGTTGACGCCTTCGGCTGCTGTTTGGTTTGTGTCAGGAAAGACGAGTACCGTCGCGTTGTCATCATCCAACGCCGTCGTGTTTACCATCTGGCTGATATTGCTGCTAGATTGAGCTGAAATGTTTACCATTTGACTAGCATTGCTGTCAGGAACCGACGAAGAGTTCAGGAACTGGTCATTAGGAGTCGATATCGAAGCTGTTGCGTTGACCAATGTCGGTGAGGAATGATCAAATATGTTGGCACCAGTAGCTTGCACGGTACTTGGTTGCAGCGAAGAATTCGTCGAGGGGGCAATCGTCGGTTCCGAGGGCTGAATAGGTTCAAGTGGACTCAATGTTGATATTGAAGGCATCGCTGTTGGGCTGGTCGTCGGGGGTTGGGAAGTTGGAATTGGTACTACTGTCGTTGGACTCGGTGATGGCATTATGGTTGGTGCAGTCGTATGCAAACTAGCCGGTGACCAGTAGATTTCTTGCCGGCCTTGCACATCGTCTTCGCACTCCGCCATCGCAAATCTTTGCCGACCAACATCCCAGTTCAGGCACATGAAGGGTGGTTCATCTTCAAGCCTGTCTTCCGTCTGCTGTACAAGTCTGTGATCGCTGTCTTGTCGCCAAATCGACCTCTCATTGGACAGCACTGGGGGACAAGGGCCAGCGAACACTCCTCTCGCGTCGCTAGGCATCGACCACATGCAAAAATCGTCCCAACGACCAGTTGCATGGATGAAACCTGTTTGATTGTCGTACTTGAATACTTGACTTTCACCGTAGTTGCAGTCCTCAGCTCGTACGATCCGGCCGTTCTTGCTTCTAATGAAAGATTCGTCCGTAACTGTGAGGCACAACTCATGGCTGTAGTGCGGAAACTTGAAAAAACCCGTTCCATCCCGAAGAATACCCGCTCGAAGAAATGTAAACCTCTGTTTGTCGTACCATACGTCATTGTCATACCGAGAGCGGCACTCGTCCATATAGAGAGGCAACACTGACGGAGACCAGGACGGGCGTTTATTTGGTCGTCGACCACATTTCCCGATGCGCCCACAGAGCGAAGGTGGTTTCGTAATGTAGGTGGTTGGAGGTTGGGCTGCATAGGTGGGATGTGATGGTCGGAAAGCACCAAAACTTGATCCAGAGGGGACGCCACTTCCAACATTGGGGCGACCAAAACTGCTAGGAAAACCCTCGGTCGACGCAGCGCCATTGGAATCACGAGCTGATCCAACTCCAGCCGAGCCTCCGTTTCCGAGCGTGGATGTCCCTCCACTACTGACAGAACTGCTCCCACTACTGGACGACCCAGTACTATCACTGCTCGATCCTGAAGAACCTCCACTGCCGCTGCTGCTGCTACTGCTGCTGCTGCTTCCTCCTGACGACATTCGTTTGAGGTTTCGATGCCGTCGCCGGAATCGCGTCGAAGCAGAAAACGACGAGGAGGCACCTCGCGACCCCAAACAAGAGCTGGTTTGGGCCGTTTTGGGAAAATGGTAGAGTCGTCCCTCCCGATCATAGTACCACCGTTGTCGCTCTGCAGGAGTTGCTGTGGTTGTGCCATTGGCGACTGCCGTCGTTTCGAAAGTTTCCGTGACATCAACAGTCGTATTCGTGCACGATCGGACAAACACAGTTTGGTCTTGGTCTTGTTGTCCTCGTTCCATGCAGCCCGCCACCGTTGGTTGTTGTTGTTGTTGTTGTTGTTGCGCCATTGCTAATATCAATTCCATTTGCAACGTGTAGTCATTGAACCGAAAGAGCTGATTGTCCGAAAAGCGACAGTCTCGCAGCACCAATCGATCGTCCCCAGCATTCCTTGTAATGCATCCTTCTCCGTACACGACACTCTGCAAGACACCGGTTACGTTGGGTGTCACGGACCGGACTGGAAGGGGTGGTGGCAGTGGATCCCAGAATCGTTCGGGCACAATCAGTGTTTGACTCGTGTTGTTGTTGTTGTTATTGGGCTGGCATGGTTTCATCGAGACGCGGTCCTCGATGGCCGTCAGACACAAGTCGTCAAAGTAGGTACGTGTAGTCGCGGGTTCTTGTGCTTGCTGCAACTGCCGTCGTGGCCCGGTGTTGTTGTAAAATACGCGTATTCGCCCTTGATCATCGGGGAACCATTGCCAGCCCAATAATGGGTTATTATTATCCAGTAGAGGACACGTGTCTAGATAAACCGTGCCATCGATGGCTTTCTGGAAACACTGTAGATCATTGTTGTTGTTGTTGTTGTTGGCGTTGTTCAAGATAATTTGTCGCGCTGCGGGATCATACAAGAATACTTGTCGATCTAATCGGTTCCTCTGTTCCAATCTACCATTGGCACAATCGTCCAATACCAACGGTTGTTTCGATCCTGGTTGTTGTTGTTGTTGTTGTTCGACACCATCCTCCCCTTTCACCACGTCGGAGGATGCCGTGATGCATTTTGGTTCTTGATTATTACTATTATCATCATTTTCAGAGGACGATGATGGAATCATTATTTGCAAGAATCCAATATCGGGGCTGGCAAACACCAATTTTGGTGGGTCTTCCTTACTATTATTTGCGACGTTGTTGTCATTCTTTTTATGATTGGTCAGGAGCACGACCGTGGTGACAATTGCCGCAATAATAATGGCTGCCGAAAGAATGCACATACATGCCATTAGTTTGTAGCGTCCCGATTTGGAGGACGAATTGTCGGATCTGGAGCTGCTGGTGACACTGCCAGTGGGTGTGTCTGTTGTTGTTGCATTATTATAGTACCCACCACCATACGACGATGAATAGGGGGTATTATTATTGGTGGGATGTTCGTCGTAGGTTGTGCTGGTATTGTAGTTGTTGTAGTTATTTGCGTCACTTGTTGTAGTGGTCAACCAGGGAGGAGCATCGGGTGGTGGTGGTTGTGGTTGTTCAGGACTATTATTGTAACTGGTAGTAGTAGTAGAGGGAGTGGCAGCCGCAGCAGAATATTCCGGTGTTGTTTCTGGTTGCTCATAATATGTGGGTGCTGTTGCTTCCGGTGGATGATGATGGTCTGGAAACAATAATATATCTACCGGTACCGGTACCCCTGCACTGGTGGAATATGCAGCTTGTGATGAAGGTTGGTAGCCATGATGATGTGAATTATTATTGATCCCAGGATTATCATATTCATAACCTGGATGATGGCTGTTGCCTCCCGTACTCATGGTGGCGTAATTGGTGGGAATCATCAGGGGGTCGTGGTAGGGTAGCTGCTGTTGCTGTGAATACCCAGAGTGCAGACTGTTGGTTCCTGTATTGCTCACCACTGAAGCAGAACCAGAACCAGAAGCAGATAGAGACTGGTGTGGCTCCACATAGCCATAGGTACTACCTGTGGTGCCTGTGGTCATGTGGGGTGTATACCCCTGAGCTGCATTATTAATGCTGCCATTGGCACTGCCATTGGCACTTGCATTGTAGGCTGCAGAAGGGAATTCATCAAATGGGTTTCTTTGTTCTTGTGCTTGTCCTTGTCCTTGACCATACTGATGAGGCTGAGGCTGAGGCTGAGCTTGATGCTGAGGCTGAGGCTGATGGTAGAGGTAGTCATTATTCAGATGCTGATGATTACTACCGGTAGGAGGTAATGGGGTATCAGGAGTATCAGTCCCTCTACTACCAGTACCAGTACCGGTAGAACCTGAACCTTGCGTCCAACAAGATGGAGCTGAGTTATCATGCTCCTCCATACTAGCTAGATAGTAGTACTGTACTCAACTATCTCAGCTATCAATCGAGCTGTTCCTTCTAAAGAGCTCAAGAGTGCCTTTGTGGGAAGAAACAAAGAGGAAGCTACCGGTATACTCGTAGAAAGACTCGACTCGACTCTGGTTGACTCCTGATCGGAAGCGCCTTTTGTGTTTTGTGTTTTGTGTTTTCTCCCCGTTCGCGAATAAAAGATAGACTATTTTAGTACTAGCTAGCTAGCTGGCTAGTATTCTACATGTATGTAAATGGTTGCAAGAGAATCAGTCGTGCATAATAATAAAAAGAATTAAGAGTTTACCTCATTGAGAGTTGGAGTTGGAGTTTATCGACACAGCACCGCCAATCAAGCCAAATTTTCAAAACAAGATTTCTCATTCCACCCCAACAACACCCACTCTTCCCCAATAAGCAACAATTAAGATCAATTGCGTGATGTGGGCGCAGCATGTCACGAGGGCAACTGCTCTGTTTCTCATAGTATTACATGTACCAGTAGTCTCTGCTTTCCACAAGACATGTGGGTTTCATGCTCCTACCAAGAACAGGAATTGGCAGCACAATAATAATGGACGTCCATCAACCTTCAGAGGGTACCGGCACTTGTACTCCAACCACCCTCCGGCTCACACTACCAGTACTGCATTGCAAGCGGGAACTAGATCTAGGGGAAGACCCAAACGGAGCCAAGAAGAAGCTGCAGAAATACGAGATGAGCGGCAAAACGCACTCCAAAAGAGACTCAAAATGTCAAAGAAGGAAATTGATAGTTTGGTAAAAAGGTCGCCGGTATTGCTAGCGTGCAGAGAAGAGAATATCCTACAAACAGCAGACTGGATCCAATATTATCTTCAACTCAACAATGTCAAGACACTAAAGAAGATTGTCATCAAATCTCCAGATATTTTGGGCTATAGTGTCACAATGCTAGAGGGGAAAATGAAGTACTATCAGGAAACATTTGGTTGGACCAACACAGAACTAACAAAAGTCTTGACTACTACTTCTCGAATTATTAGCTATTCCACAAAAGAGAACATTGAGCCAAAACGACAGTGGCTATGCAATACATTCAATCATGTAACCAAAGATGATGTCTCCAAGCTCATCAAGAAGAGCCCATTAGTACTGCTTGCCAACCTGAATGACATGGTTGACAGATTGGAATTCCTACAAGACCAGTTGGAACTCAATTCAACCCAAGCAACGTGGAACTTGCTTTGGAAGGCTCCAAATGTCTTGGCATTGACAAAGGACACATTGAATGACAAGATTAGTTGGTTCCAATCATCATCATCATCATCATCGTCTTCCCTTGGCCTCACAAAAAAGGAAACTGCCAAACTGATCAAAAGTCTACCCACATTGCTTCACACTAGCATCGACAACAATTTGGAACCTACACTAAAGTGGCTCAACAATCGCTTTGGCCAAGCAGCTGTAGTAAAAAGGATGGTGACAGCTCTACCTGCCATTCTGGCATACAGCATAGTAGAGAAAACAGAGCCACAACTGGAGTTTCTCCAAGTCACATTCGGCCTCAATAATGCAAGTGAGCTCTCGAATATGACGTGCAAGTATCCATCCATACTGGGCTACAACCAAGCCAGCATGGAGGAAAAGATACAGTTTTATGCCACATGTGTTGGATCCAGGCCCGATGCCCTTGACTTTATCCGCCGAAATCCACGTTTACTGGGTGCTAGTCTTGATCAGCGGTTGATTCCCAGATGGAATCAAGTCCTCGAATTTGAGCTGCCAGAACATGGGTTTACAGTCCCCATATCAAACCTTGCAGTGTATTCCAATGCCAAATGGACACTGTATTTGGAAAAGAGGAAGGGGAGGATATCAAACATAACAGAAGATGCATCAGTGATGTAGTTATTAATTGCTTGTATTAAAATTGTGACACCAACACTTGATACATGTACGTATGGATCAATCTTTTGCTGACTGGTGATTCTACCTACCGGTAGCTAGGATACCGTAGCTAGCTAGAGCTGGGTATCGTAATGATTGCTGCATCCCAAAGGTTAGAGCGCAGGATTCTGCGTGTATCTTCCGCACTCTACACCTCCTTATCAAAATCTGCTGAGCTCTCGATCGGCAACCCTGCAACGATACGGCACCGGTGAGCATGACAATGTTCTAACTAACTAATCTAATGCATCATTCTGGCTGGCTACCGGTACCGTGCCTGGGATATACCGTTGCATGAAAATGGGCCCAAAGAAAGGTTCAAGGGAATGGATCCTTGTCGAGCAGCCGCACGCCAAAGAAGACAAACGATCCCGATCCCTATCCATCCACGCTGACCGGCGTGGAAACCTGAACCCTCATGGGTTCTTCGATGAATGACTCGACTCACAGTTGCCAGGTGCTATTGCCTTAGAGTGGATCTTGCGAAAAGGCAGTGGCAATCGACATGTATGTGGGGTATCCATTTCAGGAACGCAGGTGATGACCTGTGGAGTGTAGAGATGTACTTGTTGTGTGTGAGCGAAGTGTGGGAGTAGATTCGTATTTTGTGAGATGGTACCA